ATGGGCAATACTTTCAATGATTCATTTATAACCATTTTTTCACAATCAAGTTGCATTTTCATCAAAATAACAGCGAGAACTTAGTTGCGCACCTAATAATTTTTGTAAATATATTTTTAAATTGTAAAATTGCTTCTAGCCATGAAAAATAAATTTGTTTAACTTCAATAGAATTTGTGAGATTATCAAACGAGCTCTTTTTTAATTATTATGCCCCTGTAAAGTTTACCTGTAAATGAATACGTAATGTTATTGCTCTCTGGCGTCTGAAATTATTATTAGGAATATCTCTCGTATAATAAAATTAGTTTTACGAATAAATTTTTTATTTATAAACTGGAAAATCTTAAATTTTATACGCATCTTAATGCTACTTTTTATAAAATATTATATTTAGTTTAGTTAAATAAGAGTCTTAAGTCTATTTATGTACATTTTTATATATTTCGTATGATCGGGAACGACTCGATATATCTTTTGGGAGGGCTCTTCTTTTCTTGTTATTTCTTCAATGGCTCCTCCGGCTGTTTGACGTCGCGGATCTAGTTCGGCGGCTCGCCCGTTGTCAACTGCAAATCTGCGGATGTTTGCGAATATTTAATTGACTGTTTTTAATTATGAAAAATTGACTTGCATCGACCTCTGCGAAGTAGAGCGGCGGGTGCAACGTTTGTATAGGTTATGTTTGTCTGTGCGTTGCGGCCGAGTCCAGGACCTGTCCGCGGCTCCAGGTCCCATGGCAGGGGACAATGAAGGATCGAGGATCACCGAGGGGCGAAGCGGCGGCAAATTAGAGTTAGATATACAATGTAAATAAAGTGATGAAAAAAAACAAAAAAATACATATATGAAGAAAAGAATAAGAAAGAATATAACTTAGAAGGGTGATAAGTAGGTATGGTAATAAGTAGGGTGATGGGAAATAAGGAATCTAGTGTTAAGACTTAGCTATAAGAATTAGATATAAGGTTGGCCCAAAAACCGAGCGAGAGGCAAGGGAAGAGGCCGAGAACCAACAAGAAGCAGACCGGCTGGGCAGACCAAAAACAACGGACACCCACCACGAGCAAAGGAGGCGATCCGGGCGAAAAAATCCAACGGCCCAGGACGGCGCAGGAGCCAAACATGCCGACTACGGTGAAAGATCCCAGGATACGTAGATGAGAGCATGAGCGACACCCGTTGCGAGGCCGAGGGGCAAGACGGGGAGCCGGCATTCAACAAGGGCCAAAAGGAGGCCGAGCCGAAGAGGTCTACGGAGAGAAAAGGGGAAAACGCGAAACCCAAGAAACATGGACACCCACCAGGGGCGATCCATGCAGAGAAACGAAAATCCGAGACCATAGGCGGACGACGAAAGGACAACCGAAGGGGCCTACGGAGGAAAAGGTCAGGGATCCGGGACGTCTGGAGCAAGGGGCAACGCGGAACGAACGGGCACCAGCGAGCGCGAACTAAGCGCTCAAAGCGCGCACAGCGAACGAGAGAGGAAAGAGCTGGCGAGAGAAAGACCCCAACAGCTCATTGCCGAGAGAAAGAGAAGGGGAAGCCCAGGAATAAAAGGAAGGGAAGAGCAGTGAGCAAGGGAAGTGAGAACCGAGCAGCCAGAGTCGGAGTCGGAAACGCGAACACGAAAGAGTTGGTAACGGACGACCGGTAGGTGCGGTGCGAGTAAGCAAGGGCGAACCGAGTAGCGAAATCGAAAGGCCGGCCGCGTGGGCAACCGACACCAGAGCGTCGGGTACCGGGGGTCGAGTCAAGCGAAAGGATCGTAGGGAGTAGCAATAAGAATCTGTACGCGATCTGTAAATACCGACCAATGAATGACTATGAGGGTACTCCCTCAGAATAAAGTACCATTTGTTACCGAAGAAAAGGCAAACCATTTATTGAGACCCGTCCACCTATCTCCCGAACATATAGACGCCGTCCCGCCAACAGGCGAGGTGAGTAATAGGCGTGATATCGAGGTTCGAGGGAAAGACGACGGGGCACCCTTCGTTCTTGGAGGTGAAAGAACGTGGCGACCATAACAAAGCAGGCAGAGGAGACCCGACCGAGCGCACGGAGAGGGTGACTGCGGTCATAGCGTCCTATTTAAGTGAGGTAGAGAAAATATTTTTCTTCTTACTCCCGCATTTGACCTTCTCTCACTATTATTAACATCGAGAAGATTTATTTCTATATGTCTTGAGCTCTCATTGCTGGAAACCTTTTACGTTTGCCATATTGGATCAAGCATTTTTTAATTCCAAATTTTAAGTTTGTAATAAGAATCCGTGTGTATAATATCTTTTCAATGTTATATTTTTTTTAAATTTGATAACTTTAGTATTTATGTTCGCTATATTGGTTCAGTCATTTTTAATTATCATATTTTAGTTTTGTATTTATAATTTAGGATCTCAATAATGTATTAACATTATATTTTTATTTCATCCGAAGATTCTTAATATTTCTGTAATATCTTTGTTTGCTATATTGATTTATTCAATTTTTTAATTTTTAAATTAAATTCGGTATATTTGCTTCAAAAGTTCCGCCATAGAATCCGTCAGTTCATTTACTTTTTGAACCTACATTTTGTTCGAAATTGATCTACTTTTAGCATTTTTGTCTAGTAAATTAGCCTTTTCCATTTTTATAATTTCTATAATTTTTCTTAAATTTGAAGACTTTTATTCGTTGTACAATATTTTTGTATGTTATATTTTATATTATATTTAAAAATTTTAATTCTGAAATCTGTTTTATTAGAATCCGTTTTATTAGATCTGTCATTTTTCTTTTTCAAATTCTAAGTTCTGATTTACAATATTTATCCTCTTAAATTTTCAAATGTTACATTTCGTCTAAATTTGGCGATGATCGGATTCAGAATCCGATCATACTTGTTCAGGCAATTATTTTTATCATTTTTTAAGTTTATATTCAAACTTTGTTAAACTGAAAATTCTTTACCCTTATATTTCATCGATGTTGGGCGACTTTTAATGTTTTCATTCAGTATATTGAAGCTCTTTTTAATTCCTTTTTTTTTCGATTTTCCATGAATATTTCATAATTGTTTAATCAAATAATTTTTGATCTCTTATATCTATTTAGAACGATGCCGAATTCGATTACGAAAGAATAATAACAATTAACTCAAATACCTCATCAATTATATTAAATATTATAAAGGACTTCTGTAGCATGTGATTTCCAGATGTTTAAAGATGCTTTGCGCTCAAATTGAGATTCGCTCGCACTTTGATCTTACCTCTCCTACTCTAATAAATAATTTGCTACTTTTTCAATCTTAAGCTACGTGCCGTTTCACGCATAATGTATATAATGCATCATTTATATTTGTTTAACATTATTCTAATGTTGGATATTTTTAAATGATATATTTCTTAATATTTTTACGGCTTTTCTCTTTATTGCTATATTATTGATATAGGACTTTTTTATTTCATATAATATTTTTTTAAAGATTTATCTTACAGTCTGTATTTTGTCTATGCTTTGCATTATTTGTCGTTTTCTTTTAATAGCAATATTATTTTTAAACTGCCTTTTGTTAAATTGATTTATTATTAACATATTACACATTGTTTCTTATAGCTCTCATGTTTATACTTATCATTTTTATATAAATAGTAATAATTTTTAGAACCGCTTATTTCACTAAGAATCATTTTTATCGTTCGTTTACATAAAATATCATCATTAATAGTTCTTTGTAATCGTTTTTAAAATATATATCTTCTTTTTTTTTGTATCCCCGGTTAATTTGATCCTAATGAAGTTGAAGTCAATGTTCTTTAAGTCGTTTGTTTATTCTTATTCAGTTGTTGGTCATATTTGCCTGACACGTATTTGAATTCGAAATTAAAATAATTAATTTCAATATTACCAAATGGATTCTCAAGCATTAGATATATTTTTTTCAGAAGGACCTCTGTGAAGCTGGCCCCACTTTTTCTAAAAATTGAAAAAATAAGTAGAGTTCTGGTTGCCCCCCCAAGAGTTCTAAAGTTCTCTATCAATTTTAGAAATAGTTCCGTCGATTAAAGGGGTGAAAACACCATTTGAAATATCGGGAGGGCCAACTTCACGATTTCGAAACTTTGAAGGGCTATAACTTCTTTACCATTCATTTTAGAACTTTCATCCATATAGAACAATCGATAGAACTCTTTGGGGGGCAAACAGAACTCCCAAGAAAATAATGGATTTCAAAAAAAAAATTTTCAAACAAAATTAATTATTGCAAAAAAAACTTTTTTTTAGATTTTCGGCATCCTGTAATGAATTCTGACAGCCCCCCAAAGAGTTCTAACGATAATCCTTAATAATGAAACAGCTGAGATCGAAAACAAAAAAGTTCTAGCACCTTGAATAGAAAATTTCAAAAGTTGAAACTTTAAAGCCCTAGAACTTTTTAGATATCGGTTTCAGCGCATCGATTATTAAGGATAATCGTTAGAACTCTTTGGGGGGCAAACAGAACTCTCAAGAAAATAATGGATTTCCAAAAAAAATTTTTACCTACGTGGACTTAGAAAAATTTCAAAAGTTGAAAGTTTAAAGCCCTAGACCCTTTTAGATATCGGTTTCAGCGCATCGGTTATTAAGGATAATCGTTAGAACTCTTGGGGGGGCAGCCAGAACTCTAAAGAAAGTACCGGATTTCCGAAAAAAATTTTTACCTGTGTGGATTTAGAAAAATTTCAAAAGTTGAAACTTCAAAGCCCTAGAACTTTTTAGATATTGGTTGTACTTACAATTAGAAGAGTTCTAAAGTGCAGTTTTCAGTGTTCTAGAATGCTGTAATTATCGATTTCACCACATAGTTCCTTACGTATTAGAATTAGGATTCCATTCATTGGCACTCTGGTTCGAATCGAACCCGCACTTCCTTTGCGAGATAAGGTTTCGGAAGTGTTATTTTTCCGGTGTTAGATTGTTATTCTAATGTCGAACTGTTAACCTTGGTGATCGATGCATATATCTACTGATATAAAGGACCTACTTTTTAACGCCGATTCCGAACGGCGGTGGTAGATATATATATATATATTATATACATATATACTTACACTCGATGATTTGCCATTCCATTCCGAGAGATTGCGATCTGATCAAAGACCTGTCATTGTTGGTATGGGAAGATATCTTTCTGCGTATATGTGTGTGTGTGACTAATTTTTGGAATATGTCGTAGTTATTGTCATTCTGCGCAAATGTCTCAATAGAGACAATTTGGTCTTTGGATCTACAAGTCTTGAAAGGTCGTTAAAGGTTTCACATGTAAAAGTATATAGCTTTTTGACTAAAATATGTGGTCGAGTGCGTGCGTGCGTGCGTGCGTGCGTGCCTGCGTGGGTGCGTGTGTGTGTGTGTGTGTGTCAGTAGAGATAAAGACCCTACGGTCCGTCACTTCCGTAGTATTTAGTGACTCCAAACCCTCTCTACCGTGTATGTGTGTATGCGCATACACATGCACGTGCACGCACACGCATTCGAACGAGTCACATATACCTAGTCGAAAAACCTATACTTTTGCATGTTAAATCTGAACCTTTGAAGACTCATAGCACCGAAACGGTACATAGGATTATGTTGTTCCTATTGAGACATTTCTTCAGAATGACGAGACCTACAACATATTTAAAAATTAGCTAAATCTGTAGTAAGATTTTTTTTCATAATGGTGCGAGGGCTTTTTATGTTCTGTGGATTTTCGTGTCTTATTTGTCTTTTTTAATATAAAATATCGCGTGTGGACATACCTCTTGGTTCGTTGTTACAACTGATCTTTTTGATGCCATATCATCGTATTTATGCCATTCGGAATCAGTGTATGTGCATGCAATGTAATGCCCATCGGCATAGTCTCCGCTATATTTTATATATGACACGATGCCTACCAAGTAATATTTGTGGCCATCAGCAATAATAGTTTTTGCTACATTATCAAGTGTGTATTGAGATGGTTGCATACCTAATGAATGTATATAATTGATATCTGTCAATATGCTAGTGTCAAATATTAGATGAGGACCATACATAATATTACGATTTACTATTTTTTTGCAACTACTGCATATTGTTACTCGTTTCGTAATGATATCGATAGCTTTTTGGATGTTTTGCAGACCATTTCGTAATATTTC